GAAATTAATAATAAAAAAATATAACACACATAAAAAAGAAAATTTTTTAAAAAAGAATTCATACATATTTACCAAAACAAACAAACAAAAAAGAATTAATGTTACTCAGAAATAATTTATTTTTTTATCTTTAGGAATCCTTTCAAGTCATCCCAAATATGGTTCTATCCCTAAACTTATATGTAAGTATGAGACAAAACTTGGTTGCTATTGTCCAAGAATATAAAGGGTTGTTTTTTTTTTAAAATCATTAGATTTTTTTAAAAATAAAATTTTATACTGATTTACTTACAAAGTTTGTATACATTGGTTTTCACACTGGATCTTTCTATTTCCTTTACTCACTCCTCCTTCCACCCATCAAATTATGTAAAATTATTAGCTTTAGCAAATGACATAACTTATACTAAAGTTGTGCTTTGACTAATTTGTTTAAACTTTGAATTAAATGCATTGCTTAACATCGCTGGTATGTTCTGTGAAATAGCATGTTGTGTGATTGAACGTTGCATGAATACCATGTTGAAACCTTATGAGAGTCCACTTCACGTTATTCTCATTGCCACCAGAGGCACTAGCAATGGCAGCAGGAATGGCGCAAGAAGCAGCAAGTGGAGAGGGAGAACATGCCCTCCCCCACCTTCTTCCTGCAAGACAAAGCCCCAGAGCCATACTCTCTGCCTTCTGCCTGTGTCCCACATGTGGTCCTGTGCTGCAAGAGTTGGGGTTTGGGGTTCTTTAAAACCATTAAGGGGAAATAATTAAAGGATAGCTGCTTTACTTTGAAAATGAAGAGACATTAAGCAGGCATGCTTACTTTTGGGCATTTTATTAGCATCAGAAATCCTAGGTTACATGAAAAGGGGCATCTTTTTCCTGTTTGGTAATATGTTGTTGTTGTTTAATGCCGTCGAGTCATAGACGACTCATAGCGACCCTATGAACGAACAGCCTGAGCACTGTTCGTACATAGAGTTTCCGGAGGCAAGCCATTTCGGAAGTGGATGCTGCTCCTGCTTCCAGGCTTGATTTAGTCGGGAAGCTCCAGCCAACACTGTCCA